CAGTAATAAACCTTGATCGGATACGGTAATACTTCTGGATCACCTCCAGACACAACTGTGTTGTCTACTATTTCATCTCTGACCGATGTAAACATCAAAAGCATCACTTCAAACAATAAAGTTGATCCATTATATGAAAATATCTGGACACGACCTCCAAAAAACTACACTACGAAAAATTGTAAAAAATTGTAATTGAGTTTTAAATTTAATATTTTACACCTGATGATGGTTTAATAAAACCGAAACATGTTGTAACTGTTCAAATTGTAAATCGATTATTCGATATGGAACACAGAATGATATTTTAATTATATTAATTATCTTATTTTAAATACATTGTGATTTGATGGAATAACCAAATAATTTAATTTTAATTTAATGTTGCAATGTCTACACAATCTGTCTTTACTCAAACCTGATTAAATAAAATAAGACTTTTAAAAATAGGTTAAGAACAAAGTTAATGGAGATCTTGCTTCTTGAATGTTTGTGGAGATTCATGGTACTTTGGTTTGTCACGTGCGAAATAACACAAGAGCTACCAAATATCACATATTTATTTTGTTTAGATGTAATTAACTGATACGTTACGTGGGGCAGCAACCAAAATGCAAAATACACTTCGATGTTAGACAAAGTAAACTTTATAATGTTCATTAACTTCCAATGACAAAAAATATAATGGTAGAACAGAAAACAGACAAAATTTTCCACCACAATCAAGTAATAGCAGTCTCTAAAAATTGTTAAACATGTTAAAAATAACATAAAATGAAGGTGTGCTAGCCTGTAGTGGCTGCACACGCCTGGAACTTATGAACATTATCATTTTTCTTAATTTAGAATGAAGAACAAGGACTAATTGATTATGAGATATAAAACAATTCCACCGAGAACACAGTTAATGGTACACGGAGATATGCTTCACGTACTCAGCTTTTCAGGGATATGAATATACTTCTAATACCTAATTAAATCAATTAAAATATTGTACTACATGAAAATATATAAAATTTGAAACAAAACACAATCATAATTACTACACACACCAGAAGCTGGTTCACCATATTCAGTTTCGCAGAACAAGTGCTTTAAATTAATGTAATAACTATAAGATCAAATTACAAAATACATTACCAACTCAAATTAGTAAATCAAAAACATTCAGAATTTCAAGATGCAACTAAGATCCTATAAACAGAATTATACATTCTACTTTTTACATGAACATATCTTATTAATTAATAGATTACGATGTTAAATTGTATCTGTTTCCAACAAGAAATTAAATTTACAGCGTGTTATCATATACTAAAGAAATGTGGTTCAGACAACGGAAAATTATGTTGGAGGGTGAGTCAGAAAATTTCAGCAACTGATTTGTTTTACATCTTGTTGTAACACTACGTAATTTTGAAATACTTTCGACCCTGACCGGCCAGTTGATGTGTCGTCGTAGCAGAGTTAACATCCGACATCGTTCAAAACCCAAAAATCTGCAAGAAATGTAATTACACTTTTCTGGGATCCACAGGAACCAATTTTGGAAAATTACCTAGCGAGGGGCACAACATTAAACAGTGTTCGTTATAGTGAAATGTTTCTGTATCAGCTGAAACCAGTTATTTGAACCAAACACCGAGGACTTTTGTCGAAAGTTGACGCCCACAACATTGAAAACCTCCGCCAACTGAACTTGGAGGTGTTCGAACATTCTCCGTATGGTCCTGATCTGACACCTTCTATAACCTGTTTGGTCCACTGAAAGACTCTTTGACAGACCGTCATTTCGCCACTGACGAAGAAATCGAATAAGCTGTGCATTGAAAAGAGCGAGGACTCTATCGAAAAATGATGCGATTGTACATATTCATTGTCACTGTATTATTTAATCAAAAAAATCAATTGCGGAAACTTTCTGACTCACCCTCGTAAACTTCGAGGACCTGTACCATGCCGATGTGTGACACGTTAACATATTGTCTCAAAAAGAATAGAAAAAAAAAACTAACCTGAAATAAACTAAACATTTTCCACGGAGGATTTAAATATTTTCATCTTTCTCAAGTAATTCTTAAACATCAAATCTAAAACTTCTTGACGATGGTGAAGAGTCAATTGAATAAAAATTTCCTTGGATATTATCCATCGTCTAGTAAAAAACGTAAAACGACGTTTCGGAGATGGGACTCTATCTCCGTCTTCAGGTTCCTACACAGTTGGGCCCACTAGATAGAGCTAATCCCTATCTCCGGTCCGAAACGTCGTTTTACGTTTTTATATTTACTAGACGATGGATAATATCCAAGAAATTTTTTATTCAATCCTTAAACAGATGAAGTTCTACTTTAGAAAGATAGAAATAGTCCTTAACTTCCATTTTTGTAGCCATCTTTAAGAAGTACCCTGTCATCTCAATGCTACACTGTGATGAGATCATGCAACAAGAAACAACTTTGATACAGCGTCGCTTGACTTCGCCACCAACAACAGAAGCCATGCGTTCATGTGCATCGTCAGGAGAGGGTGGAATCTACCCCTACCGCCGAGATCAGGGTCCTCAAATGCCACGGGTGCGTTCACGAAGGAAACACTGATCAAATCGTTCAAATGCACGCAAACACAGACAGAGTAACAAACAGGCACTAAGCGACAAAATCATAAAAAGAAAGAGACAGAGAGAGAGAGATGTATGAGAGCGAATGGTGAGAGACGGACCGGGAAGGTGTTTCCGGGGAGAGCCCGGGGTCCGAGGGTCTGATGGTGACCGCATCCCGCAGCAAAAATCAGCATCTGCAACACAACAGCGTGCCCACTACACTAGAAATGCTCTCACACGTATCACCAAACCTCCTGAAGAAAAATCACATTTACAGCAGCCTTATAAAACATTAGACATTTAACTAGCCTCTTTCTCTGTTTATTTTATTTATTTAGTGTTCTGTCTGAGGACAGGTCCATATGAACAGGATCCTTCCATCCTTTTCTCGGACTGGGACCTGTTCATATACGTTCTTGGCAGTATTTTTTATTTAGTGTTCTGTCTGATGACAGGTCCATATGAACAGGATCCTTCCATCTTTTTCTCGGACTGGGACCTGTTCATATGCGTTCTTGGCAGATGATCCAGAAGTGGTTTGCCCTTGCCTTCTTCTGTGTGTGAATGGAGTAATTGTTGGGATGCCACGGAGGAAAACTCCGTGTTGCCTAGACCACGGCCTTGCCCAACACAAGTTATAAATTCGGGCACCGCCGGGAATCGAACCCGAGACCGCTAGACCACCGTGGCGGTTTTTTTTAGGTTTTTGCAACAAAAATTTTAACTGATGACAGAATCAGTCACTTGACAAGCGACAAATGCGACTTGGAACATCAATGCAATTGTGACATGTTCCACTGTAAATGTAACTGTTCTTCGGGATTCAGAGAAAGTTGAGAGAAATGGCTGCAGAGAACCGCCATACTGACTAATAAATTACCATACTTAACAGAAAGTCACTATTCAAGACAAAATAAACAATTTTACGACAATTTTTAAGTCAACTGTTTAAAAAAACGTAGTGAGTGATAATGCAGAACGCAATTTTAATTACACATTAAAAATTAAATATTTCCCATGAACATCTGACTCAGAAGAGTTAGTTCACAAAGAAATTAGATCTTTCTTACTTTAATGACGAAAAAACTTGATTTAATGTTATAATCACAGTAAACAGTATTGAGACATTTAATGGGGAAGAGTTAAATAATATGACAATTACATCTTCGATATTGTAATGAGAAGGAAAATATAATTTAAAATGTTATGGCACATTGCTGAGACAAAATAGCTTATATTTTCTATAATATTAGAACAATACAATAATTCTGTTTCCCTTTGAAGATAAATGTTTAGACTGGACACGATTCCACACAATCATGACAACGCTGCCGTTATGGCAACTGGGACAAAACTTAGTGGCTCCTAAAATGCGCAAGACAGATGCGCAGAGCTCTTTGAGAAGTTCCGGGGTCTCTAGCGATCAAAACTGAATACTCAAAAGCAGAGTCTGCCCCCCCGCCCCTCAACCCACCTCCAAGATAGTCTTTTAGACTGGACTTCTCATCCAAGAACACTGAAAGTAAAAATGTAGAGTGCATTAAGAACTATATATTTTTTTTAAATAAACCAAATTGGGAACCTGAGAAAAAGTTTTTTTTTCATGATGTTTATGGTCATCTTCTGGGTTATATATTACATTCTTCCTTAATATAATTAAACTTCACCTAGACGAAATATATTTTATAAAACTGGTGATGCCAAAATTAGAGTCTGAGTCTACATTGGACTACATTCATAATACGTCTGCATAAAACTTCATTTTCACGAAAGATTTACACAAAAACAAGCACTGGAATACAGAATATACCATTGCATATACCAGTAACAACAACAATAATTTTTCATTTTCAACTAATTCATGTTAAAGAGTTATTTTTTTACCACAGAAACGTATTTTATCTGAAATTTTTGTCTTGAAACAAAGGAAATAACCCTCTAAAGACAATATCTCAATTCTAACATTTACTATAAAGTAATGAGAATCAGAAGAGGACATATAATTTGGTTTATTTTTACGCCGTGTCCGATCTGGAGTTATTTATAAATATGGCACTCACATGCCAGTACAATAATAAGAAAAATTCTTAAAAACCATAACATTTTATTTAACACCTAATTACATGATTATCAGAGCAGAAATTTTGGATATAGTCTCCTGTGATCATCCCTAAAACATTCAGTATTACGAAGAACTTACCCTTAAATAAAATTAAACACTGAGAAAATAATGCTCATCTACAATGTGCTCATAGACACACAATATTATAATAGATCGGTGATAAATTGTGTAATAGACGCAAATGTGCTCACTTCATGCAAGAGACGTTATCGAAATTGAATAAAATTTAGCACGTAAAAATATCTCCTACATAATAAAAATACATGCTAAAAACGAAATTATGTCAGAAATTTAAGCACGTGCTCTATGTTAATATTAAACACAGTAACGTGTCTATTAGATTCAGTTTCAATTCTGACCATCTCCATCACGTGACCTCCAAACCATGCCTGAAACACGGCTATCGAGCTAATGTAAAGTTATAAGCATTTTTATCTTACGTACTCCTGAATTGGTGATATAAACTTATAAGGTAGTATATTTGCGTCATATTGTGAATTAGGTTAATATTTTAATATTTTCCGTCAAATCACAATTTTTAATAAGATAATAAAATATTTAAAATATCATTTCACGT